TCACAACCTTCTTTCTTTCTTTCATCAACTGATAAAAGAAACTAATTAAAATAAAAGATGGAGAGTTACTACTGTACAAATGAGCAGCAAGCTTTCATGGAGGAGCTTATGGGCTTCAGAGAAATGGAAAATTTCTACGCCAATCAAGCTTACTTAAACGCCATTAATAATGGCGGATCTCTCACCCTCGACTCCATCTACAACAACACCGCCGCCACAAATTTTGCCCCAAATTCCATGGAAAACAGTTACAACCCTAATTACCTCAATAACAATAACCAGAGCTTCGTTTCATCCTCATACGCCCACTACGGCGAGGAGCTCTCCCCTCCGGATCTCACGGCCGATTCGTCCGGCAGTCGGAATCTGGACGGCCACTTCTACCTCTCCGGCGCCGGCGAGAGCCTGTTCCCCAGGGGCGCGGGGTACCAGGGTATGGATATCGGGGTGCCGTGTAAGGCGGAGCCCCAGCCCGAACTTCCTGCGGGCTTCAACATGGCCTTCGGCCCGGCCCAAAGGGCAAAGCCTAAGAAGATCAGCGGCCAGCCGTCGAAGAACCTCATGGCCGAGCGCCGCCGGAGGAAGCGCCTCAACGACCGCCTCTCTATGCTCCGATCGGTTGTTCCGAAGATTAGCAAGGTAAATTCTAAAATCCCCTTTTTCCCCTGAGGCTAAAATGTGGATTTTTGTTTAATTTTGATAATTGATTTGATTTGATTGGTAGCAGATGGACAGAACATCTATACTTGGAGACACCATAGATTACATGAAGGAGCTGATTGAACGGATCAATGGCTTGCAAAAAGAGATGCATTTGGGCACAAATCAGTTGGCCTCAATGACCATTTTCAATGATGTCAAACCTAATGAGATTGTCGTCAGGAATTCACCCAAGGTGTGAATTACTCTGTAAAACAAATAAAGATTCGGATTTTAGTTTAAATTTTTATCTAATTTGTTACGATCGTATTTGTTCAGTTCGATGTGGAGAGGAGAAACACAGACACAAGAATCGAGATATGTTGCGGTGTGAAGCCCGGATTGTTGGTGTCAACGGTGACCACATTAGAAGCATTAGGCCTCGAAATTCAACAGTGTGTAATCAGCTGCTTTAATGAGTTTTCTCTCCAGGCTTCTTGCTCTGAGGTTAGTATGATTAAGTCATTTTTTTTTTATCTAACTTTTTAATTTTTTTATTTATTAATTTATATATTGTTGGGTGTGCAATAAACTTATATACTGTAATGTTAATGTGTGTTGCAGGACTTGAATAAAAGGGCAATGTTGGATACAGAGGATATAAGACAAGCATTGTTGAGAAATGGTGGATATGGAGAAAAATGTCTGTAAAACAAAAACAATCTTATGTTAATTACTTAGGTTTTGGGGAGAATATGGGATGAGAGAGATTATTTTATTTTATTTTTATTTTTTTTTACCCTTTTTGTCTCTCTCACTCTGTTTTTTGTTTTTTTTTTTTTTTGTGTGTGGGGTTAGTATAAATTATGAAGTATGTAATTTTGTCCAGAAGATTTCTCAGATGAAGTTGTGAGGAGTTTGCTTCAATGTCGATGCCTTTTTTTTTTCAATTAAATAGACAAAAATATATATGTGTATATTCAAACAAAATAATGTTGAATACAAGATAATTTACTAATTTTAGCCCAAAATAGAAATGAACTAATTTTATTTTAAACTATAATGATTACCTTGAGGAGTGACCTTTGGTACATACGAGCCCATCAAAAAAGATGAACCCATAACTTATACAAGTTTTTTTAAAGTTTTGTTGACATAATACTTGCAAAAACATTTAGATTAGAGCGTGTGTTTGGTAAGCAACATAAGTTCACTTATGATTTATTTGGTTAGCTCATAAGTTTTTTGTATACAAATAAAGTAAGTAACATAACTTTACTTATGATTTATTTGGTTAGCTTATAAGTTTTTTGTATACAAATAAACTTGGTTTAGTAGATACACTGTTTTGAAAAGTTAAAACTTATCTCATAAACTTTTTTAGGTAGTTTTTCAAATAAGCACGATGAAAAGTTCATTCAATTGGCTTATCAAGTAATTTTATCAAACACTTTGTTCATATCAGCTAGTTTTTCATCCATAAGCCAAACTATCAGTTATAAGTTCAGAATTCACTTATAAACTATTAGCTAACATATCAGTTGTCAGCTAGCTTATTAGTTAATTTTACCAAACATAGCATTCGAGGTGAATTCATTTGGTATTTCTAAGGAATTTTTAAGACTTCAGAAATATAATGTATATAATTAATCTTTTTAGCATTTTTAGAGGTCTCGAGGTATTCATTTGAAATTTTAAAAAATATTACAAGATCTAGACATATTGAACTTATTTGAGACTATGATTTATTATGAGTTTTTAAGATTTATTGGGATTTAAAAGGAAAAAACCATATGCGAAATCTATATGTATATAACCATTTAATTTTTCAAATTTGCAATTATCCATGTAACTCGCATGATTGACAAAATAACCGAAGTCTTATCCAACTTGTTTTTGTTAGTTTACGATGAGCATTCTAAACTGGATTAACTTGTGGAGTGGGACCCCATGATGCAATAGTTCAAGCTCCCGAGATCTGTTTCACAGGGATTGGAGTGTTAACATCCATCACATATATAGAGAAACGAACGTTGCGGCCGATCATATAATTTCGTCATCCTCTCCCCCATGCCAACTCTAGCCCCTGCATGCCTTAGTCCTTGTAGCTCTGCCACTGTATTCGAACCCCAGATGGAGCATAACGTTATCCACCCTCCCATTCTCATCTCGGATTAACTCACCGGTCTTCTAATGGAATAAAAACCTCCTCTATTCCCCTTTGAAAGAGTTCCATAGAATATGGCGAACATGGCGGAATTATACACGATTGGCTTACATCGTCTGGTCTTTCCACGTGAGGAATTAAGTGCTTGGCTTGATCATGACAATATTGGGGTGTCGTATCCCCGTCGAGTACTAGTTTCGACCATTTTGGCTTCTTTCTTCACACCAAAAAAAAAGAAGAA